TGTACCTGCTTTATATATGCCACCCCCCTACTTTTAGGGCTTGGAAATTTTGGAAAAAAAGGGTGGCTTATACATAGGGAAATACGGTAATTGGCCAACAGTAAACCAGTTTGATCATAGACGTCGTCTGTGAAGTAAAAGCCTGGACACGAAATTGATCCAGTGTACAGGCCCAACATGGAAAAGGGAATTTGTAAACCCAAGTTAGTCTTGCATACTTTTTGAGGCATGGAGACGGAATGGTGTGTCCTTTTGTATGGTCGCAGTTTCCTTTCGTTACATACAAGTTGTTTGACCTAGTTTTCGCAACTTGCCCATATTGGCAGGAACACACCTTGTCCAGAGTTCATAGTATGCACGATCATTTTCAGAGTCGGTACATTCCCAGACAATTCGCTGGCATCGTCAACACTAAACTTCAACCCATCAGAGACAACTAAAGTCGATCCCTTGACCAACTTTTTGACAAAACGGTTGTGCTATCACTCCTACTTCTATCCTGGCCTCTCTATCCCCTCTTATCTCACCCTCATCCAATCACAACTTCTGACTTGTCTATAATCAACAGGAGATATGCCCTTTTGGCGAATTTACCGTGGCGGCACCACACCTGCTGTTTGCTTTGCTCCCCTCCCTTTTGAGCGGCTGATCCGTCTCGAGCCTCCTGACCGGATCTGCCTCATGGACCAAAGGTTACTTTCTTGTCTTTCCGGTTGACCGATTTTACTCGGCTCCAGCCCCAGAGAACTTTTACTCCAGGGTCTATTTTTCAAGCCTTCAGCAGCACGTACAAAGTCTGATTCGCATGCTTGCGGATATTAGGCATTACATACACAAATTATCTCCTAGATTGAGCCAGTGTACCCTGCACAAACTGTGGACATCTATCTCTGGTCGCCTGCTGCATCTCAAATGGATTATTAGTCTATTTGGTCATAATGCCCAATTTCTGTGATTCAATCCCCGAGAGAAGTAATACAAAGTAAAATGCTGGCCGTGAAGAGCCGATGACAGGGCAGGAATTATGAAAGAAAGATAAATATAGAGAAAACGCACAAAAGTGGATGTCTCCCTTCCTGCGAACTAGCTCAAAAACTACGGCCAATGTTAAGAAATGGCGCCACTGTAAGCACAGAGTAACAACTTATCAAAGTGACAAATTTAGGCAATCTCCTCAACCAATTTTCTGTTCAACCGTTTTGGCAACACTCCTCACCCCTATTGTTTGTTCTCCCTTCAAAAAGCCACATCTCTGTGTCTCAATACCTTTCATATGGCCCATCCACTTGTTCACACAATTCCGTTTTCTCGTTTCCTCCAATGCCGCTTAAGAGTGTGTCGCTACCAGGGGGTTTAGTGAAGCGTAATCATCTCCACCACCGTTACCAGGCGCAGTTTACCGGACTCCTGACCTACATTCTGCTCTCTTTCTCCTGTCCAGATTCTCAATTGGTCGCTGCTAAACATCAAAATCATTGCCTGACTGTCTATAATCTGGTTGCCCAAAGGCCTTCAATTCCCGTCCTCAATTACGCCATATTCGAAGAATTAGAGCAGATGATGTTAATGCCCATGTCAGTGCCTGGAAATCTTCCTCTCTTTAGACAGTAAACCTTTAATCGGCCAAAAAATTTACCCGTGAGTCTACCTGTGAGACGTAGGATATGAAATTAAAGGATAAAGATATAGCTGGGCCAGATATAGATCAGCAGTATGTGTGCGAGGGTACATGTGTGCATTTTTCCTCTCTGTGCCTGAAGGGAAAAGGACTGGTGACATGCATGACCACGGCAGATACCAGCCAACAGACACATGAACATCATCCTAGTACCGTAAGTTTATATGGGAATGTCAACTAGAGAGACGAAAGGAGTGTGTTTTTCGCGATTCAAGGGGAAAAATGGAAAGATGTGCATTTTTATACCAGCGGTTGACTTAAGCTGGATAGAGGGCCCCAAAGAATGGGACACAACGTGGATGGGGATGAGGGAGAGGAGAATCGAGTGATGGGTTTAAAGCCTAAGGGGAGGAAGATTCTCAGGCACTGGCATGGGCATGGGCGAGGGCATCATCTGCCCTAAATCCTAGAATATGTTATAATCAAGGATGGGGATCGCAGGCATTTAGGCAACCAGATTTCAGACAGACAGACAGTGATTTTGACATGTAGGAGCGACCAAATGAGAAAGGGGGCAAAATGTAGGCCAGGGGCCATGCAAACTGCACCTGGTACCGGTGGTGATGATTACGCTTCACTAAACCCTATTGTAGCGACACCCTCTTAGGCGATATTGGAGGAAACGAGACTACAGAATTGTGTGAATAAGTAGATGAGCCCTATGAAGTGTAGTTGAGAGAGAGAGAGAGATGCAGCATTAGGAGAACAAAAATACAGGCGAGGAGTAATGCCACAACGAGTGAACAGAAAATTGGTCGACGGGATTGCCTTCATTTGTCACTTTAATAAGTTGTAACTCTGTTCTTACGACGGCGCCTCCCACTGACGATACCGGCGAGACGTTCCACATTTGTGGGTCGGCACGTCAGAGACTTGGGCATAAGAAACTCATAGACTTGGCGTTAGGGACAGAAGAGCGAAAGAAACAGTGGTGGCCATTTCTAGTTAGCTAGTAGTAGATACATTTGCTCATACACGTGGTGTATGAAGTTGAGGCTTGACCATGAGATTTACTCGGTGAACATGCGACAAAGTAATAAGGGCACCTGCAGCGTCAAATTAGCTTGCCGTGCCAATTAAGAATCCAGACTTTAGGAGCTTGCTTAGTGAGGCCGGTGTATACGTGCTATTAAAGGCTTGAGGCAGAGTGTAGAACGTAATTCTTGAATAGCACGGATACGGTGGCAGCAATGGAGTGAAATCACTGAAACAGGCAGATAAGAGAAGGATCCTGTGGAGCAAGTGGGACTCTGATAGGACCCGAAAAAAGAGGTTTGCGGATTGAACTGCAATAGTTCTCCTTGGCCGAATTCAAATAATTAAGGCAACCTGTAATAAGAGTCCAGGAAACACGGCAACAAGAACTTTGGTAGCAAAATTGATGGGAATTCATACAGTGTTGTGTACACAAATATATGTAGAGAAAAGAATTTTTAGAATCACAAATATTGTGATAAATGGTACTGATTTCCATTCAATGGTCAGTAGAATAAGTAAGTGCTTTCGGCTCTAATTTTGATAAACAACAACACACAAAAATTCATCTCGTTTGAGAAATACTACTAATTCTCAATCTTAGTGCAATCTGATAAATGGAAAGTATTGAAAACTTGTTTTAATCTCTTCTTCATAAAAGTCATTTTCTCTGGACGATTACGTAATGCATCATCTTCGGACTGAGGACTGGATACATTACCAGATGCTTTGCTCGCACCGTTGGTGTGGAGCTCCTGGCTCATAACAGAGCTACAACTCGTCAAAATGACAAATCTTGACCATCTTACGCTGATACATGAAGTTGTACCCTCATCCCCACTACCGCTTGGTATGACTAACATGTCTCTATCCTCGCTTATTCCTCGTAGTTCCAATAGCTTTTCACCTCTTAGAATTGGAGTAAAACGTCTACACTACTTGACTCCAATCCTGTCTGCAGCACTTCCGAATTCATGCCAACTCACCAAATTTTTATCAACTGGGGTGTCGGAAGAATGAAAATCGAGATAGGAGTAAAGAGTAGCATTTGGAAAAGGAGTGAGGCTATAGCGCCACAACATAGGAAATGTGCCAGTACAGAGGGGGGGGAGAAATGCAAAGACCTTATAATAGATTGCTATGACGAAATGAATTCCGGTACCAAGAGTCGTGCTACGCCTGAGTATGCATCTATCCGACCGTCCGCTGAGGTGGGTAAATGTCACAATAATGTTAGGCATGGTGAGATACCCGAAAGCATTACTTGATTGGAAGAAGTGTGTAAAACGAAGAGAGGCTTCGATCAAACCTGAAGTCTCATTCTTTTGGTCTTCATAACTAATATCAAAGGCGTTTTAAGTAGTATCCTTATTTTTATAAATAGTACATATGAAAAAAGAGACTTCACTATGAAAGTCCTAGTTCATGGAGAAGATACACAGTTAAGAAGAAATTTGCATTTAAGTCTAATGAGGTTAAGAAAGGCATGATAAAATCTGTTATAATAAGAAGCTCTCATTTATCAGACATCAATCATCAGTACCTATAACAGGAAAAAGCACAATTAATCTTAAATTATAACGAAAACCTGTTAAGGTTAAGCATAAACTAACTAAAATGAATAGACAATTACTTGATTCAAAAATTAAATGTGTCTAAAGAATCAAGGACACTTTTTAGGTGCTTCTTGCTTTCTATAATCCTAAGACTATCTTCTAGATTGGGTTCATCTGTCTTCTCGTTTTACATAGTATTCCGTCCATGCAGTTAAGACGAATAAAACACGAAATGGACCGTAAGGACTTGTGGGTCCAATAACTATTAGACCAGTGCAAAACCAGTACAGGAAAAGCTCTATTCTTTCCTAACCAGCTGGACAATTTAAGCATACCGATGAAGGCCTAATCTCATTAGAAAAGCGGCAGCTTTAGTTGCAAAAAATTCAGCTTTAAAAGGATAATGATAATTTTATTATGTCGTGTTACGAAAGGAAAGGAATAAATTGAATGACCTATTTTACGAATTAGTGGCAACACGGGTGAAAATTTAAAATATCTGAGATAGGCCAAATTATGAAAATGTACACCTAATCACCTGTTGACAATTTGTGCTTCAGTAGCAGCCAACGTGTAAATAACAAATAAGGTCCATTAAGAATGCAAATTAATAGACCTTTTCGCAACTAACCAACCAAGGAAACTTGATATTTAGTAACTACATATCACACAATTTTGTGCTCTCATTTTATCCAATGTCGCCTAAGAGTGTCGCTACAAGTGGTTTATGGAAGCATAATCATTTCCATTAGCGATATCAGGTGCAGTTTGCATGGCTCCTGACTTACATTCTACCCCTCCAGTTTTTTCCTACCCGCTCGATTACGCCATATTCGAGGACTTACGGCAGATGATGTTCATGCTCATGCACATGCCATGGCCTCCCTAGACTTTAAACCCATGGCTCAATTACCCTCCTCCTCATCCCCACCCACATTTGTCTCATTCTTTGGGGCCCTGTGTCCGGCCCAAGTCATAACCGCTGGCGTAAGAATGCACCACTTTCCTTATTCCCCTCTAGTCTCTCAAGTTTATAATCACATGTCCATGTGTGTGTTGGTTGGTATCCCATGTAGTCAAGTCTGTCATTAGTCACCTCACCTTCCGACGCAGATACGAAAAATACACACAACACTTACGCACAGACACGGATGCCCTTTATCTAGCCTATTTATATCTTTAGCCTTTAATTTCACATCCAACCTCTCACAGGTGAACCCCCTGGGAAAACTTTTGGCCATCTTGGTCTTCATACATAAGAATATAGCTTTTTTGGCGCATTCGAACTTACCTCTGCTCCGTAGCCAATTTCGCCCAGCACATTTTCCTTGGGCACTCGCACACTGTTGAAAGTCACGGTTGAAACTGAAAAGATAAATATTATAAACATTGTTAAAAAAGTGGGTCAACATGATTTTCATTACACAATATCTGTTAAATTGAAGATATGAAAACAAAGATGTTGTGGCCCCTCATAATGGGGACCTAAGGACTTAATGTTAGGATAAGTTCACGAAATCTAATGACAATAAAAAGAGAATTTTTGGTAAAAGGCAGTACTCTTAAATCCAAGGGAAAATTAAACGAGAAACAGTATACAAATCTTAGTATGAGAAAAAGCAACATAGCGATCACCAATGAGCTTTTCAGTGATCATAAGGCAGATAAATGAGCTAACCAAGATAATTTTTCATCCTACCATTGAATTTCATTTTATATTTGTTCCCAAAAAAGGATTTCACATCCAGAATGGACAACAACCTTACTTTAAATGAAAAGGACTTTGGAGAACAAGATTATAACTATTGAGAAATGTGAAGTCGCTAATCTCCAAAAACATTACGAGGCCAAAATCGACTAGGTATGAAATGGGATTGAAGCTTTAACATCACAAAGGCAAAAAAGTGGAGGTTCGCCGGCCGGTACAGTATGCTTTTTCCCAGAAGAAAATTAGGAATAAGCTACAAAATGTATCCAACAGGAGCCGCTGCATGCAAACTCTGGCTGGCTAAAATTGGACTCAAAGGCCAAGGAGAAATTTATACCCTGAGGTAGATGCAAGCAATGTAAGCACTAGTTCCTACATGCATGCAAAAATCAAATGGATTATTTTTTTCAAAGTTTCATAAAATAGATTATTAGAGAGCTATATAATCTCATAAATAATTTCAATAAATAAGCAGAATAAATGTTTTTTTAAATGAGCAGCAATCATGCAAAAGAGAACATGTATGCCCGCAGCATATATATATATAAGAGCAAGTTTGACTAACTGCCTGCAACTCGAAGTCCAACAGAATCTTGTGGCTCAGAAATCGAGATTCCGGGAGAATCACGGTCAATGATGAATGCAGAAAATTCACCATTTTTTGAATTTTCCTTTGGAAGAATAAATGACAATT